GGGAGCCCATAGCAGGGAGGTGAGATAGGAGCTGCCCAGGGAGTAAGGAACCTGTATGTCCCAGCACTCAAGGTCAGATGTCAAACGGGTGACTCTTCAGGGTTAGGGTTTCAGGGTGTCACGGCCTGGGCCTGGCGGACCTCACAACTGTACATCCCTCCATGGGCCGAGGCCACTGTGTCCACAGGACATTTCAACCAGGGCAGGAGCCAATCCAGCAGGGTCCCAGGGAGCCTCTGCTGAAGCCAGCCTCTGGTGACACTTGCTCCCTCTTCCTGGTAGTCTACGACGGAGCCAATCTGCAGGACAACCCAGTGTGGCAACCTGCGGTGCTTACTGAGGCTGAGAGGTGGTGCCTAGCAGGGCCCAGAGGGAGGCCTCTGTGGCTGGGTCCCTGGCAGAATCTTCTGGAGAGAAGCATGAGCCAGAAGATGTGTGCATTTTCAGCTCTACAGAGTCTCATCACGAAAATCATTCCCTACTGGCGGAGGGTGGTGCGTGTTTGTGATCCTAGCACTCTAGGAGGCTGAAGCAGGAGGACAAGTGCAAACCTAGACTGGGCAGCTTAACGACTTGTGAGGCCCTGCCTTACAATAAGAAATAAAAAGGACGGGGGTTGGGGGGTTGCTGCTCAGTGTGAAAGCCCCAAGTTCAATTCCCAGTGCAGGGGGTGGGGGTGGAGGAAAGAAACCTGAAAAACCATCCCTCCCTAACTAGCTACTTTCCACGCAAAATAAGCTAATAACCACAATGCCGTGGTGATAAAGCCAGCGGATCTGGAGGATGGGCTCCCCGCCCCCACGCGTCCTGCCTCTTCCCTAACGCACCTGGGGCTGGCCAGGGAAGGGGAGGTGCTGCCTCCATGTGTGTCCTGCCTCCAGGAAAAGCCCAGGCAACTCTCTGCGGAGCTGCGAGGGCAGCCAATCAATACAGCTTCGGAGCTTCCGAGCTATTATTCACGCCAAAGGGGCTTGTTTGGACGAAGGAAGGAGGGGTGCCCAAGTTCACAGACTTACAGCCTAGAGTGCTACTTCCTGCCATTTCCCCCTGACCGGGTGCTTTAGGTTATTTATGCAGCAGAGCAGGAGGTGATGCAGGAGAGGAAGTGCTTTCCCCAGGGCTGGCAGAAAGCACGGTGGGCAGTGTGGCCTGAGGGGTCTGCTGTTTCCCTTTTCTGGGTCCTCTGGAAGCAGGCCTGAGATGGGCGGGAGCGGAGGGGGGTGGCACTACACACCCAGACCCTCCTACCCCACTGCTCCCTGGGATGATCTCAGGAGCCACCCCTGCACTCTGGTGTGGGGAATCCACGGGCCTTCACTTGTGCACCATGTGGTCCTCGTCCCCATCCACGTCCACCCCTCTTCTGCCGCCTTGGTTTTGTTTCTAGGAAGCTGGATCTGCCCCGGGATCTGAGAAACGGGTGGCCTCCAGCACGGTGGCCTTCCACCCGCACGGCAGGAAGCCCCGCCTACCCTGGCTCCATCACCCAAGCAGCGCATCCCGGCTGCAGTCACGTGTGCTTCCGGGCCTGTCTGCTCCCGGCTGCCCGTCACATCACCGCTCTTGGGTACCACGCCTACAGCTTCAAAATATCCTCAGAGCTGCCCACAACAGTCACTCGTCACATTCACAAAGGCCAGCATCTGGCGTAAGACTGTGTGACCGTGTTATCTGGTCAGCCTTCAGCACACAGTACAAGGCTGAGCCTGATGGGCCATAGGTGAAGCCACAGAAGTAAGAGTCTTTCTTGGGGTCAGATTTAAAGTTAGTGAGTTACAGCATGGTGTGAGGTCAGGTTTGAGGGTTGTTTTCTAGTCTCAGGACTCTTAACCAGGGTCAGGGGGACGTCACTGGGGCTGGTTAACACCATGGAGCTTTCCTTTGTTCTTGAAAAACGGCTCTGAGCCCATCTCTAGCTGAGATATGGAAGCCATTCTAAGAGGGATGGCTAATTTGGACTGGATCTAAATGGATCCCTGAGGCCTGCTGCACCTTGGCTTGGCATGGCTACCACTTCTATAGCCAAGTGACCAATGATAGCTGCAAGCAGCCCTCACCTGGCTCTCGCCTGCTAGGCTGGCCCACAGCTCGTGCAGGACCACTCCACCTTCTGTGTGTGGTGCTGAGAGAAACTGCATTGAGCAAGGAACAGGAATCATCTCTTCCCCTCACATCTAAGGGGTCTGGCAGGGTGGGACCTGAGACAGGATAGGAAAAGTTGCTTTCTATTCTAACTACAACACTCAGTCCTGAAGTGCCGCTGAAGCAGGCCTCCCAGAGTGGCTGCCACAGTCATGTGAACTCAGGGAACAAAGGCGCAGCCCTTATGGCTCCAGAAGGCTGTTGGCCTTGACTCAGGACGACCATGAGGAGCCCTGTCCTCGTGGAAGCCGATCAATTTGCTGATGCCAGCCCACGGAAAGGAAAAGGCTGCAAGGTAAGTTCAGGCCAAGTGTAGTTGTGGTGCCTAGGAGGGAAGCAGTCTTTGTGATGAGCTCCAGGCAGCCCTCTGAAGGCACCCAGGACACCCGCCACACCTCCCTGGAGCAGCCATCTGGGCGGACGAGTCTTCCTTCAGGACGTCTGCTCCTGCTCACGCTCACTGCAGGCCACAAGCTTCCAACCACACACTCAGCTCAAGGGGAAAGCAAGTGGCCACGGCCCAGACGTGCTGGCCACAAGCGACCAACAGGCCTTGGCTTTGGGCTTCTCCTCCAAACACTCCTCGCTTCCGGAGAGCACCACACTCCGAAGCAGAGGGCCGCCGGGGCCAGCAGTTCAAACCAGAGAGATGAGGAAATCATTGCTTATAGTTAATTCTCCACTATGTACACAAACTGCTATAAATATTTACGATGGGAAATTTCATTATTTAAAAATTCCACTCTAAATTTCCAACTAACTCCATGAAGAATGCCTACTGAATAGGTTGCAAATTAAGAACAATTATTTTTCTCTTCTGCATTTAAATATAACTTACAGCTAAAGTCATTTAAAGGGGTTAACATCAGCCTTAATTAAATATTAAAGTGCGCCTGTACCTGCTGCTACTGTTGGCCCTTCGAATAAGATATAACCTATTTTTGACAAGTTTTCATCTTTCTCTGTGGAAGACGCTACATGAAACCAAATCAGTGGCAAAGAGGAGAGTAATGAATAATCTATTTCATATTCCAACAGTACCCAGAGCTCGGAGTGGAAAAATATTCAGTCAGATGACGGCAAGAGGCTGCTGAGGTACCACATGACACAGCTAATGTTTAAATAATAATAATAAAAAAGCGATAAACAAATCATTAGCCCTTAACAGTTGTTTAATGCAATTTGTTAATGAACGTAATGGTGGGGACTAATAATGAAAGAAAATAAAAACGTCTAAACAGGCGCCAAGTTGCTGGCGATGCGCAATTATTTCCTTGTCAAGTTTTTATGATTTAATGAGCCCCTCTGGGACTGACGGCTGTCAGTCAGTCGTGACTTTTTGACACCATTACAACTTCAAATACAGCAGCAGGCAGGCTGTTTTCCTCGGATTTGAAATACTGAAATGATCTGACAGTTTTAAAGAAAAGATGTGCAAAAAAAAAAAAAAAAAAAAAAAAAAGGGAAAAAGGGAGAGAAAGACAGTGGCTTTTCCTTTCTTTCTTTCTTTCCTTCTTTCTCCCCCTCCCTTCTTCCACAGATTGATAATCTCTGGATGCTGTTTGGTAATGAAAACCCAATCACCGAGGTCATTATCTGATGAGGTTTTTGGAGCAGGCAGGCTTTTTTCCCCTCTTTATTTCTTTACTTAATGATAACCCTCAATGGGCCTGCCCCGCATGGGACGGCCAGAGCCGCACAATTTTGTTCACCATTAATTTCAGCCTTTGAAGCTCAGGGCTCAGAAGCAGTAGCAAAGCAAACCCCCCACCACGCTGGTTCCAAAATAAGACAATCCAGCCTGCCTGAAACAGAATAGCAAATGGCCTCGCAGCCCAGGCTGGCCGCTGACGTCAGCCCTGCATTTGTAGGCATTCGCCTTCAACACGGAACATTTAAAACTCTTTACAACTTAAGAGACTTTAATTAAATTGCTTTTGATTCTGGAGTAGGGTAGCATCCGCTTTATTTATTTTGCCAGGGAAACTGTTTAGTCTGTATGAATTTTATATGGCAAGGGCTCCCTTCTCTTCCTCTTCTGCTAAGTCTTCATCTTCATCTTCCCCCCTCCCCATCCAACACTGTTTGTAACAAAGGCTCCCAACTTCAGGAATGGCCACCATGGAAGTACACACACCTGGAAGCTTCCTGAGATTTCCAACCAGCTTCAAATCTGTGGGTTTTCTTCCTTCCCCAGTGGAGCAGGGAAGGAGGGAGCGATGTGGCCTCACCCTCCTGGGGGTACACCTGTGGCCTGAGCAGGGCCGGGGGCGTGGCCCTTCTGACCAGCCTCCTCCCCAGCTGGTGGTCCAGGTGGTCGCTACCAGGCCCTGACGGAGCCTGAAGCCAGGGTTTTCTTCCCACTCCTGACGCTGGACCGGGGCAAAGGCCCAGACAAGGGCCGATAAAGACACAGCACTGGCAAGGGGGCGATGGAGGTACTGCTCCCTCCTCGTTTCTTCTATTTCCACACGAACCAGGTTGGAGCAAGATACACAGGAGCTGTCGAGCACGGATGCTCAGATCAGCCTTGTGGTGACGTGGCCTTGGGAACAGCGAGCGCAGAGGAGAAGGGAAGGAGGTGGGACGTGTGGCTTGCACCCAGGCTCACACTGACCTAGGACCAGCAGCTTCAAGGAGGCCAGCGGAGGGGCTGCACCACTTCCCCGTTAGTGTTCCACATGAGAAGGGCATGGGTTCTCTGCTTTGAAAATTTATTCCATGTGTTCAGTGTACCCTAATTCTGTTATCAGAATAAGGTCTTCATGGAGATGGGTCCTGTGAGCTGACAGGAAAATCGACCCAGCTTCCCACTCCTCCGTTGCCTGACTTCCCTTGGCCAAAATCCCTCACTGTCCCTCTGACATAAAGGCTGGAGCTTTATTTACGCAACACTAAATGATTTATCTGAGCACGCGCAGGCCCTGGCCTGTTTCGATAAGCAGGATTTCTCTGGTGGATTTTGCATTCTGCATTTCCTCTGTCCAAAATGGTTCTCCTCTGAGTTGGAAAAGAAAAAAAAAAAAAAATCAAGAGCTGCATTCAGGGGATCTTGGTCCATGGGCACAGGTGGTTAGCATTTTTTATGAAGAAAACAGGTTTGTTTTCAAGAATTCAGAACTTCCAATTATATTTGAAAGACAGTACAGAACCCGTAAGTGGCTACAATGTCTTAAGAAAAACATATTTTACTTTATAACTAGGGGGAAAACGACCTCAGCTTGGGCAACTTTTAAGCTGGATCCCAAAAGAACTCATTTTGAACACAATTCCCGGTTACCTCAGACAGACAGAAAGAAAAATCACAGAGCACACTAGAGGTTTGAATACACAGTGAATCAGGAAGGCCTTGCTAACATTTGTTAGTAAAAAACCCAAGTTGCCCTTCTAAAACACCCTTCAAATCTTTTCCTTTGAACGGAGGTTAGTGAACATTTTCCATAAAGTTTCTGTCCAGTAGAACATCCTATAGGACTCGCCCATATTTATAATCACCTTGGAAATTTCGAACAGATGGAGTCATGTTCTTGTTCTTACTGAAATATTCATGTTCTCTTTACATACTAGAATGGACGTGGAGCGAACCTTGTCAGACCTTTTGCATGTATGAGGGCTGCTTTTGGCAGTGCAAATATTAAAACTGAAAGGACACAGAGATGCTCACACAGGTCAGGGAAGATGGGGTCACAACTAAACGCTGGGCCAGGGCTCATTCTGCCAACAAATCGGGGAGCATGGGATTTGGGAAAGGCAAGGAAATATTTCTTGAAGCCAGTAACTGGAGTTGTGAACAGTGGGTACTGGGCAGATTCAGCAAAAAATATTCTCCAGTTTAAAAAATTATGCAATAGAAAAACAGGGAAAATGCTAAACCAACTTCCTGTACAAGTGACATTAAATACCCTCTTCTGCAATAAAAGCATCTGGGCATGTGCCTTATGCCGGGGAAGGGACTGGTGGCTTGCTGGAGCTGCTTGCTGCCTCTGTCCCTCCCATGATCATCTTTGCATTTTTATCCTTGGGCCCCACAGAAGGACTTTGGTGACAAGAAGTTCACGACAAACAGAAGCTCCCATGACTGACTCATCAGGCCCTCTGAAACCATGACCCCTGACATGTCCACAGGGCAAGAAAGAGCTCATTGAGGCTATTTTGGACAATAGATGAAGTTACCAAATGACAAATAAACATTCACCTTTGCCTATAAAACCCAAATCTGGCTGAAGACAAACCTAGAAAAGAAAACCATGCAAACAGGAATAGAAAATATTTTCACACTCTTTGCACTTGAGCGGTGGAGAGGGAGAGAGAAGGTCACCCAGGGCCTGTCAGCAAAAGAGAATGATTCATGCGACCAGTTTGTCTTAATTACTAGAACACACCGAGGCTGATGTTCATCGGGGGAGAACAGATACATCAGTGTCTCCTGATGAAAAAGGTGATCGCTGTCAGGATGGTGATGACCACGATGATCCCCAAGATGACGAGCAGAATGCGGTTCTGGATGATTCTGGGGACAGAGAAGAAAAGATGCACGTGGATGAATGGAAGATGCGCTGACAAAGCCCATCATGGCCAGAGTGCCTAGTGGCACCAACCCGTGAGTGTGCCCTGGGCGTGCGTGAGGCCACACAGCCTTGGGTTCTGTGAGCAACGCCCCAGTGGTGGTGACGCTGTGCCCAGAGAAATGCTTACTGCAAAGTGAGAGCGCATCAAATGGCTTCTCAGGCTCCAGGTACATGTAGTCTCTTTAAGTGATCAAGAGCCCCATGTGAGCTTCTCTTTTTAATTTAAAATGTGAGACAAGTCTCTCTTTTTCTCTTTTTTTTCTTTGCAGTGTTTCCTATGAAAGGAATAGACTCCAAGGAAATGTATGTCAGTGAGGTACTTACCTGTACAAAAATTCCTGGGGAAAAGTAAAAGAGAGACTTATCGAGGAAAGGACAGGATTAAGAAGCAAGTGTCAGACCTGCCACTCGGGCTATGAAACCATCATCTGTCACCGGGGCTCATGCTCCATCACACCAGCAGGAACTATTACATTTGCTCCACAGCAAAAAAGATGGAAGAGCGAAGTCACGGCAGGCCTTCCAGGTGCCTGTCACATGCGGGGGGCCCTTGCCTCACATTCATTTCGACTCCCCTGCTCTGGGCCTGGTGCTGCTGACCTCAGAGGAGAAGCAGCGCGAGGCATGAGCAGATGCCTGCCGAGAGCTTCCGGTGAGGTTGTTTCATAATTTGTTACCTCATTCGGAGAAAAGAGGTCGCATATCCGAAAGCTTTGTTGAGACTTTCAAAGGGAACCTGGGTCTAGCAGCTTCGCCTACGCTTGCTCTCACAGAGGCACACAGAAATAGAAGCCCAGAGTGCTGGCCGTCTAGCTGGCTGCCACCCGCTGTAAGGCTTCCAGCAAATCAGGTGTGGGCAGCAGGAGGTCTGCGTCTTATTCTAGACGTGGGCCTCGGGAAGGAGGTCTCTACTAGGGAGAGGCCAGGTGGGACTGAGCCACCAGGGCAGGGAGGGCTCTTGGTTTGTGGTGACATCTTGGCAGGACACTCACGGCCTTGGGAAGCATCTGGATGTTCGTTTTTTAGAAAGGAAGAAGACACCAGGGCGCAGTTTCAGCGCTCCCTCCTTACATCTACCCGGATGGATGGGGCTGGCACATCACAGCAGCCTGCTGCCCTGTGGCCCTGAGCAGGACCAGCTCCCTTTCCTCCTGACAGGTTACAAAATGATCACATTTGCTGACACGTCTTCCGCAAAGCTGCTTCAGTGCCGGCGTCCACCTTCCTTGCGGGAGATGAATGGTGTGCGTGGTCCTCATTTATCACGCAGGCTCTTCTGGGATCTGTCTCGTTTATTTCTCCCCTTCCCCACTAGAAAGTCTGTGCCTGACATTAATTCTTCTGTGATGGCAGCTAATTCCGACTTCAGGCCGTATTTACTCGGGAGATAGGAAGAGTCTCTGTCCCCCCAATAAGTAAATAAAAACAGGATCTCATGGTTCATTACTATGAGGCTAATTAGGAACACTGATTAGTCCTTCTTGGTGGTGCCATTTGAAACACAAATTGACCCCCCCGTCCCCCCCTCGGACCACTTTCTTGGGAAGGGACAATCCCTACACATCCCATGTGCCCAAGTTACTGTCAAAGTCTTTATGTACCACCGTTACCCTCACCCAACTTGCAAAGGAAATCAGCAAAATTGAAACTCAGCAGTGCAACAGATTAAAAACATGAGAAAGCTTTTTAAAATTCTGCCTTAAGTAATACAGAGTCGTGTGGCTCCCATACAGTTTGGTTGACAACCATTTTATTTGTGGGTTGAGGGCCCCAAGGCATCTTCGATGCTAATTTATAAAGGACTAACTGGGGGTGTTACTTGTTTATTTTGAGGCAGGGTTAGGAAAAAATGAATACACAGGAATCCCTGAGTTCTCAGCTCTTCTCTGGCCTTCCTCATAGGGCTCACCCTCCTAGCACACCCCCAGAGACTCCTGGTTTCCGGTCACTACCCCCTGCTGAGCCAGGGTCCACCTGGGGGACAGTAAGGACTTCACCTCTACAGCCCCCAACTCCGCTGTACAGTGGCTGGCACTGCGGGATGCCAAAGAGGACTGCCTTAAGAACGATGATGAAAGAACGTGGCCTCTAGGAATGGCAATGATTCTGTTCAAAGGAAGATGGAGAAGAGATCTGTGCAAATTCAAATGGCAGAAAACTATCAGGGGGTCTGAGTAGAAAAGGCTAAAACTAAAAGTTGAAGCCAGCCCCCGACGACAGAGTGCATACCTTTGTGGGTTCTCGGGGGACTGCTGGGTCTTCTCCTGGACTAGGAGAAGGCTTGGTCTTTGAGGAGTGGAAGTGGTGCTGTGGGGTGAGGCCAGCTGGCTTGAGAGGGTCTGGGTCTAAAGTCAGGGCTGTCAGATAATTGGAATGAGAGGAACAAAGCAGGCAAAAAGACCTGGAACACAAAGAGTTGTAAGCAAGCTCGACCAGCCAGGCCATTGCCCAGCTTTGGACCTCAAGGAAGTTGGGCAGACAGCCTCTCTATGGACTAGAAAAGCGAGCCATCGGGGCCCTGGAATGGGCAGGATGGAGCGAGCTTGAAGGGGGGAAACAAAGGCTGGCATTAGCAGGCCCCATCTGTGAAGAAGCCCAGAGGACCAGCACAGACAGTTGCTGCTGGCCTAGAGGGGGTGGGCAGAGGAGAAAGAACACAGAACTTGGAGTGAATCAGTGAAGCAAGCCAGAGAGAGCACTTGGGGAAGCCCAGTGTAAGCCCCTCTTAACTTTGGGAGAGGGGGGCTTGAGGTTCAACTAGGTCTGTAGCAAGCAGTCTTAATCTCCCTGCTGAAAATGCACAGTGTGTTTATCCAGTAAATAATTTAAGAAAGAGTATACACTTGAAAGAAGACCTCCAATGAAACAGCCAGGCTCAACTGCCTCCAGGCAAGACCTGCGCATTTGCATGCTGCATTCTATTAAGTGAGCGCTGCGGCTTTAAAAGAATGCAGAGCCAAATTAAAAGGAATGCGGGTCTGAAACATCAAAAATTCTCCAAGTTTACATTATGAATCACTGTGCTGTTGATATAAGATGAATTAACCATTTACTTTGAGGCTGAACTCAGAAAGCACTATTGAAAGTACGGATCCCTCTGCGAACGGCTAATCTCCCCATTGCCAGGCTCCTCCCCTTCTGGAAGCAGGCTCCTGCGGGTGGCTGCTGGAATCCTAGAAGGCCAGTGCAAGAGGAGGTGGCCACTACCTGGACATGCTTCTCTGCGCCTGCGTGAGGGGTGCAGGAGCAGCTGTTTGCTATGGTCATCCATGTCCAGTTCTCTTCTGCTTCTGCCCCACACTCCACTCGCCTGGTCTTCAGGGTCAGAGATACAGGACTGCAGGACAGGCTTCAGCCAACAATCAGGTGGTGGCACCAGACTTGTGGCACTCGCATCTCCAGCAAGCTCTTCTTATAAGGGGCATGGATGTCCACTCTGGAGAGGGCAGGTATGGGACGGCAGAGTCCCCTGCCTGGAGCCCCAGGCGTCATATGAAGGCCCACTGTCCTGGAACTCGGCAGACTTGTGTCAAGCCAGTGAGATCTGGGGTTGTTACTGCAGCTTGACTTGAGTCCTCCCGAGTGGGCACTACTGCTCTGCTCCTCCCCTAGCGGGAGACTCCTGGTGAAGCCAAGTGAGCCCCAAGGCTTATGAAAGCCAAAGTGGGATGGGGGCTGATACTGCTTTCCTGGAAGGATGACTGACTTTTGCTTCTTGATTTTCAAAAGCTGGAGTTCTTTTTTTTTTTTTTTTAAATTTTT